TATTTTATTTTATTATTTATTTTGTGTGTGTGGCCAGCTCAGCCCACCAGGGGGCGGGGCTGGCTGGCATGTGGTGCTGGGGGATTGAACCATGGTCCCTGTGCTTTGCTCGGCTATAAGCTTGTTCTAAGTAGGTGCTTTAGACCACTGAGCCATCTCACCAGCCCGAAAATGAATTATTTACAAACATAAATGAACATAATAAAAATTGTCCAAAATAAAAATGAAATAACTTACACATTAGTCATAATAGTTCACTGTGTTAAAACAAAGTTATATTCATATAATTAGAATTCTCAGAGTAGAAAGGAGTAGGCAATAAATGTTTAAAAATTTAAAATTTCTGGATTTAGTTCAACTTATAATACCGCATTTCCAAGAAAAAGGAACATTTTGCACAAGAAATTTAAATAAAATCATACCAAAATACACAAAAATGAAATTGTCCAAAACTTATTGTAAATAAAAAATCAAAGCATGTACATAAAAAATATTAGGTATGGAAGAACAAAATAAATAGCATTTTATTCCACATTAGAAAGAACAAAAAGGACCAAGTGTGTAAAAAACTAGACTAATTAAAGGACTGAAAGAAAAGATCTGTCTTCTCTGAATTTTATACTTAGCAAACATACCTTTGAAAACTAAAAGATTTTCTAGTTATACAAACTTCAAATATTTTAATACCTCCAGAAGTAGCATATAGGAAATAACAAAGCATAATTCAAAAGGCAAGAGAAGTTGCAGTATGCTCCCAGATGAACAATAAAGAGCTCTCAATATGATAGTTATGCAGGACTATATAAAATATATTAGATGAACCTTTATTTAAAGGTCATTGAAGATTTCTGTGAAATAGTACCAATCTTTGTTGGGCTATACATGTATTTTTTTCATTATGTGTGTATGTGTGTATAAAAAACGGAAAAAGTAATATAAAGTCAACAGAAAATGGAAATAGACTTTTTAAAGTTTCTAATACTAGGAGAGGATATCATGTGATGTCTTTTAAATAAATTGTAAGTCAAAGATACAGTGTGAATCTTAGAACAAAGATTAAGCAATATTCAGAAAATTAAATACTAATTAATTAAAAATTAAATGTTTCAAAACAATTGAATGAAGAAAAAGTTTTCATGCTAGCAAAGAAGTACTAAGAGTAAAACATAAGATAAATACTGGAATGGCAAATAAATGACCACTTCTAACAGTTTGAGGCTAGGATATCGCACAAACTTCTAGTGTGTTGTGGACATGCATAATGACCATGACAGTTACTGGTGGCCAGGCGTCACTTGTGGGACTGAGCTACAGCTGTTTCTTTGAAACCCACCCTGTAGACTCAGATGGAATCATGACCTATAGGGAGGAAGAGAAGTCCATTTGTAGAGTGTGCTGATGGAAATATTTTGCTGCTGAACAGAAAAGAATAACTGAAAGACTACTATTGTATACCTCTTGTTCTCCTCTGTTTAATTGTTTGCCCTATTTGGTGGGTTCTTTCCATTCTCCTTCATGGGGCTGTGATCAATTTGCTCCCTCTCTAGAACATCATTTAGTAGTCTGTGTAGGCTTGGCTCTGTCATCATGAAATTCTTTAATTGTTCTTTGTCATGGTAGGATTTCACTTCTCCATTAAATTTGAAAGAGTTTTGCAGGATATATCAGTCTGGGTTGGAATTTGTTTTCTTGCAAGACTTGAAGTACTTTGCTCCGTGCTCTTCTTGACTTGATGGTTTATGAAGAGAAATCTGCCATTATTCTGATGGGTTTTTCTTCAAATGTGATCTGTTTCTTTTCTTTAGTGGCTTTTAGTATACTGTTCCTGTGCTGAATTTCTGGGATCTTGGTT